GGTTTCCAACAATCCCGAGGTTGTATCCTTGATTTCAGCATCTCCAAAGACGGGACTTGGTTGTTCACCCCTGCAGTTTCTTGTGTACCTATACGTCCACCTCTTTGTGTATGTGTGAGGCAGAGAGTTGTGTTTATCCTCCCCTTTCACTTGGCAACGATCGCAACAAAGCCAGCTGTCTCAGAAGAAATCAGTTCATTCGTATGGAAGCTGCGCCTTGATCTGGTTTTGCACGACCTTCCGACATTAAGGCTGGGATCTTAAGGTCAAGCACGAAGAGTTTAAATAATATACAGTTCTTTCCATTATAATGGTTATTAAGGGCATGTTTAAAAGCACACGCGCAGGTACCAAGGCCTGGTAGAAAACTCTAAAAACCGCTGGCACCATTTCTTCACATTGAGCTTGGAAGCAGACATCAAGAGCGTAACACGAATGACGTGCGAGGAGAGAGAAGAGGGGATCTGTTACTTAAACTATGCCAACACGGATATGTCGCTTTCAACTGACACGGTCTCGTCTCCTAGCCCTAACTCAAAATCCAAATGGTCGGATTAGATTTGGTCAGTATAATTATTTCAATCATCCTATCCCAGGCTTCCTTTGGGGAGAAACATAGGATCCTGCCTTTTCCTGAGTCGCGTCAATTGCTCTCCGGAATTTCAGGTAAGAAGCTCTGCTAGCCCTGGCTGGAGATCTGAGAATTAAAATGGGGTCCTTCTGCAACCAACGTCCACGCACTTCCTTTCCAAGACATTTATGGAAGGCCCTGAAGTGTTACCCCTTTAAAAATCACTCCAGGTCAAATTAGCCACTCCTAACAAAATGACTTACTGGAAGAATTTTTCGTCCAGGTATAAATTGGCTCTAAGCTGCAAAGCACTTTTGAAATATTTAAGGTAAATCTAAAAAGGTCCCAAATCTTCAAACTAATGAGAAGAGGATCAACAAATGAATTGGAACAGAGAAGAATTCTGGGACCATTCTCAGCATTTGTTTGGGCTCAGAAAAGAGAGCTGCCGTACTGATGCGTTTCCCACAACCATCTGGTTGGCTAGTTCAGAACACAAGATGGAGGACCTAAGAAACCGTAGTTTTATGTTACTCCATCAACCTGTCTACAGGACTGGCAGCAGTTTTCCAAGGACAGGTTTTTTTTCCTGATCCCACCTATCTAGGAGATACCTGAGCCTGCAATATATGGGAAACACGGGTTCTACAGGTAAGCTCTGATGCCCAGACTCCTATTTGAATCAAAGGAGAGATTTCTTGGGATCTCTGAGATGGAAAATCTGAATCTGCCAATGGAAGGAAAGTACATCTGGGTTTTGGGTTCTGTGTTAAGAACTATCCTCTCTCTTTCTCTTGGATTGTTGCTATGCCTCCTGCGGGGAAAAAAAGAGACATTTGCTTCATTCAGCTGCAGAACACTAATGGCAAATAGAAGCTGGTCTTTTGGGCAGGCAGGGTTCAGAGTTCAAGCTTGTCCATCAGGAGGCCCGATGTGTTTTCTCCCTCTCCTTTCTCCGTTGCAGCTAGTCTGGGCATTAGACACCCACAAACATGCCCATAAAGTCAGATCCATTCTGAATGGTAACGGGGGCACCAGCGCTGTTGTCCACAAAGATGGAGGTGTATTGTCCAGCCTGTGCCATAAAGGAATATGGGAGAAAGGAAGAAGAAAAATAAACACGACATACATGGGTGCGGAAACTCCGTTGCCTTAATCAACAAATCAGAATAACAGAGTTGGAAGGGACCTTGGAGATCTTCTAACCCAACCCCCTGCTCAAGCAGGAGACCCTAAGAAGGCCGCCCTCGGCTTGCAACAGTTCATTTAGTGAATGTTTGAAGTTAACAACGTCACTGAACAAAGTGAACTTAGGACCATTTTTCACACTTAGATTTGTTGCAGCATCCCCATGACCGCATGCTTGGCAACTGGTTCCTATTTATGACTGTTGCAAGGCCCCGGGCCATGCGATCAATTTTAGTGACCTTCTGACCAGCATGGTTAACGGAGATGCCAGATTCACTTAACAACCGTGTTACTAACTTCACAACTGCAGCGATTCACTTAACAACTGCGGCAAGAAAAGTCGCAAAATGGGGCCGAATTCACTTAAAAACTGTCTCACTTAGCAACAGAAATTTTGGGCTCATCTGTGCTTGCAAGTTGAGGACTACCTGTACTGTTTCAGACAAATGGTTGTCTAGTTCAATCAAACTTTCTCTGGAGCTAGGACTTGGAGATGAGAAAGCAGTAGGCAGGGATGACATCCGTAGAAGAAGACAGATCATCCATGGGCACCAACATGAATAAACTCTTGGGGGAGATGCTAGCGATATGAAATTATGTGTCCAGTGAGTAGAGCTGGGCTATCCAAGGGGTCTCTAATGGATTCTCAAAACAACTCATTGAATCCTGATGACATCCCATTCAGTTGGTCACAAAGGATCTCTGACATAACTATCTACCTGGTGTCCTCTGATACCCAGCCTTTAGTTAGTGCAAATTCCTAGAATGACCTGGTTGGAACTGGACTCACTGGGCAGGACAACTGGACACACCTGGAGAGTGTCTGGCTGGCAGCATTTGGACTTAGAAAAGAGATAATGGGCAAAGTTCCTGGAACTCAGAATTAATCTGGACCCTCTGTTGCACAATCCTTACCTGGAGTTGGAGCAATCCATGAACATAAACAGTAAAAACTTTACTGTTGCTTTCCAGCCCAGCGATAACCTCCAAAGATCTAGACAGGTGCAAAAGAAGGAGACAAGACATTTACTGGCTGGGATGGCATCAAAGAGGAAGGAGGGTCTCAGATTGACAAGCCTGGCCGTATTTCACAGATTAAAACAGTGACATGTCTGGTAAACGGTGGCACTTATTGAAGCCCTTATTCTCCCCTCCCCTTCACAACATGACTTCTTTAGCCAATTCTGC